ATAGAAAAATGTGTTAATTTAACTAGAGAGAGTAAAATGTGTGATATGACTATGGTTCCATGTATCAATGTCAATGGGCCTTTAAATTTCTGGAAAGAGGCAGGTGTGGTAGCTCTCATTGTAATCCCGGCACTTTGGGAGGCGAAGGCGAGAAGACATTGGAAACCACACCAGGAGGGACGTCGAGATGGCTCGCACCCACTCTCTAGAGCCAATCATTACATTTTCAGGAATTTTGAGAGCTGACTGTTAAGCAGCCATTATTAAACATTTAATAGTATTAACATACTATTAGTAAAGATAATGAGTACTCAAAATGCATCTCTTCTCTTCCTAATTATTTTACCTGCCCAGGCTTGGCTCCAGCGATGTCACATTGGTAATGTGAAATCAGCCATGGTGGGTGTATTTATGCTATAGACACTGGCAAATTCTACTAATTGGGGTTTACATAATGGGGACTGCATGTTCACCTGTAGTAGTAGCACACCACTAACCCAAACCATCGGCTCATGAAAACACCAGCCGGGCACGGTGGCTGTGGTAATCCCAGCACTTTGGGAGGCCGAGGCGAGACAACTGCCTGAGCCCAGAGGTTCAAGACCAGCCAATAAATAAATTTAAAAAACTAGCTAGGCATGGTGGCATGTGCCTGTAGTTCCAGCTACTTGGAAGGCTGAGGTGGAAGGGTCGCCTGAGCCCAGCAGGTCGACTCTGGGATGGTCGTGAGTGTGACACTGCACTCCAGCCTGGGTGACACAGTGAGATTCCAACTCAAAAAAACAAAAACAAAAACAAAAAATACTGAATGTATGACGCAAACTTTTACTTGGAAGACGAGCAGGTTGAAGAAGCATAGAAACTTGTCTTTAGGAAATCATTCTCAAAATTGTGTGAGGGTAGAATGTAACTTTCTCAGTTTAATGCTTTACTGTTCTATCATCATGACTTTCATTACAAATATCAGTTACTAAAGTATCCATAAGCCGGGCTCGGTGGCTCAGCCTGTAATCCCACGCCTTTGGGAGGCTGAGGTGAGTGGATTGCCCGAGCCCGCGGGTTCGAGATCCGCCTGGGCAGGCGAGACCTCATCTCTACAATAAATCAAAAAATTAGCCGGGCATGGTAGCATGCGCCTGTAATTCCGGCTACTCGGAAGGCTGAGGCGGAAGGATTGCGGGAGCCCAGCAGGTCGAGGCTGCGGTGGCTGGAAACGGCCACTGCACTTCAGTCCGGGCAAAAGAGTGAGACTCCAACTGGAAAAAAAAAAAAAAGTATCCATAATTTGTAGAACAACCTGTAGACCATTACTTCTAGACAAAACAAACATGCTAACTAGATTGAGATACAAATTCTTAAAAGAGTGTAGGAGCCTGTAATCCCAGCACTTTGGGAGGCCAAGGTGAGTAGACTGCCTGAGCCCACGAGTTCGAGATTCACCTGGGCAAACTTGGTGAGACCTCGTCTCTACAATAAATCAAAAATAAGCCGTGTGTTTAGCCGTGTGTGGTGGCATGAACCTGTAGTTCTGGCTAACTGGAAGGCTGAGGTGGAAGGATCGCTGGACCCCAGCAGGCGAGGCTGCGGTGGCCAGGAGTGTGCCACTGTACTCCAGTGTAGATGACAGAGTGAGACTCCAACTCAAAAAAAAAAGTTAGATTAAATTAAACATATATATATATATATATATATATATATATATATATATATGTAGGAGATTTCCTTCCTCTCCCTGCCAAATCTCTAGAAAGAGTAACTTCTATTCAATCGATGTTTGCTTACCTCCTCTTGGCTTCTGCTCCACCATTTGACCAAAACTACTGTAAAATAACCCCTGACCGCCTTACTGCTACGTTCACTAGCTTCTTTTCAGTCTCCAGTTCCATTACTTCTAGACAAAAGGATTGTTTCTGCCTCCTCCATCAAACTGAGTTAGAAGAACAGAAATTCTACCCTCCGCCCTAGGGCTAGCCTAGCATGATGTCTGGGGGCCTCCCAGGTGCTCAGCAATTGTTTGCTCAATTGGTGGCCTGAAATTTAAATCTGTGGCCTTGAGCATGTCACCTCACTTTCTATGGATATCTGTTTTCTCAGACATAGAAAAGGAGGTGAACTACGTTGGGCCCCTTTCTTCCTTCAGCTTGTCAATAGCTCACCTTCAAGGGTATTGTGAGGGCTAAAGTTCTCCCGATTTCAAGTGAGTATTGGAAGTGGACATGTCCACTTTACTACCATAAAAGCTCTTGGATTTTCACCTTCTCTTTGGTTCTTGGGTCTAAGCCTCAAAGTGCTTCTTTTGCCTTCTGTTGTTTCTTGGCTTAGACCCAGACTGAGTGACCTTGAGAAAGTTACATCACCACCTTTCCAAGCTATATAACTGGGGTGGAAGGAAGACACGCCAGCTGAGGCTCAGAAGTCCTGCGAGCTCTGTACACAGCAGGTACCAGGGCTACATTTCCAGACTTGAGTTACGCACATTTTATCTTCCTAATGTTTCCCCTGGAGTTGATCCCCTTCAACTCATCTCTGTTGTTTGTACTGAATTCCCTCAAGTCTAAAATTCTTTTTTTTCCCTAGAGCTGCAGAAATCAGAACCAAACAGTATTCCAGATGCCACTCTCTACTCCAGCAGGATAGGATTTAGAGGGGGAGCGAGCATCTTGCTAATGGCTTAGCGGCATAAAGATCCCATCAGTCAACAACATTCAAGTTTCTGCTCTCACCTGGAGGTCAATGCTTCTGGTTCTCCCAGCTCATTATCCCAAATACTGATCATCCTACATCTGCTTTCTTGCTTGCTGTTTTCATGAGGTGTCCACCTATGGGGTCAAAGGCCCCCACATGGCGCGGTCACCTCTGAAATTAAAAGGGGAGAACACATACACATTGCGCAAACACGTACGTAAAGAGCAGTCCGGTGGTACTCACCTGAATGTTAGATTAGTCAGCAAGCCATTAGAAATGAATCTAAATGATGCAGGGCAGAGTTCAGTGAAAAGTCATGAGATAAAGGAAACATACAGGGCTCAGGCTGATTAAAAAGATAATTAGTTGTGGAAAATAAGGTTGGGCTCTGGCCAAGAATTCGTCTTTGACAAAGATAAACCAAAGGATCCAATACAGTCGTGTTGGGGGGGATTTAGCTGTTCTTTTATAGGAGTTGAAGAGCCAGAACAAAGCAACAGTCAGTTTCAAAGTGCAGCTCAACTCCCCCTCTGTTTGTTGTTCTGCTCATAAACATACAAGCTGTTTCCTTTCATCTGCGAGGGCTCATACAATATGGAGATCCCACAATAGATTTAAGCCAGATTTTAAAATGAATGCGCAGAGCTGTGGTCAAGCCAGAGATCTTCTGGCCTAAGAAAGCTCATGATGTCACTGGTTAGAATTAAAAAAAGAAAGAAAGAAAGAAAGCTCTTTAAGACCAAAAAGGCTAGCAGCCTTACCAGTGAAAAGAAAAAGAGGGGAATCTCTTACCTAAGTTGGTAAAACCCATAAAGGTGTTTGAGATGTCTAATAACAATGCCAAGAGGTTTAACGGTAATATAGGGAATGGGAAGCATTTTCCATGGGTGGCCAGAGAGATGGGGGGTGGGGTGATCGAGAAGAGGACATGGGGATGACGCCAGATACTCTGTTTGGACCTGAAACTGCAACTCTAAAGGTTCTGTGAAACTACTTGCCTGAATTACTGTTTTGATAAATAAGCCATATCCTTGTGGAATTGAAATCTCCAACTGTTCCACTGGCACGGACATCTCCGCAGTGACAGCACATGCCCCAGATTGTGGAGTTAACTTGAATTAAATTTCAGATGTGGGGGAGCTAAGGAAGGGGGTGGCGGCAGTGGGAGGTTTATGAACAGTATGCTAGGGCTCTGATGTTGTCATAACCAGATGGCTTCAACTGTGTCATTTAAAACAAAAACAAACATATCCAGAAATAATAAAATAACGACAGGAGATGCACTGAGTGGCTTCACCTGTACCTGAAATCCTAACAGCTTTGTACTCATAGTAAAGCCCATGTTGGAAACTGCACCAATACTCAACATCCCAGAAGAGACCTTCATTCTGCCAGAAACTAGGTACCAGGACTGCTCCCCTCCTGAGGGCATGTGACCTGAACCTGCCAGCTCCCAATCCACAGTTTTCTGTGAATGAAAAGGAAGCATATCTGAAGCCTGGTTTGTCCTCCCAAAGCCTCTGAGGAACAGCAGCAGCACATTTCTAGAGCTTTGTTCTTGCTACTCCCACAGGAAGGAAGCTTTACTTCCAACTTCGTACCTAAACATTTCAGAAATGGAACTTCCTCCAGGTAATTACATAATTTCCAGGATACTACATTAGATCTGGCACTTATCTGTTGTGGTCCTTCTCTGGGATTCAACTTTTCTCATCTATAAAATGGGATGATGATACCTCTCACCTGTCCCACCACACTCATCAAACTCTTGGGAAGTTCAAATGAAATAATGTATGTGAAGGTCAAAGACTGAGAGCTGCAGAGCAGACACAGCGCCTGAGAGACAGTGTGGGTGGAGGACACTGTGTCTGCCCTGGGTCCTGGATCTGTGTGCTGCTCGGGAAGGTTGGGCCGGAGGATCACATGGAGAACTGGGTACCTCCTCACACAGGTGACCCTTCCCAGAGGAAACCGTGAAGGACAATGGAGTGGTTCCTAATGAATGAACCATTCATTTGATTATATTATATTAATACATCCTATCTAGCCATTCCAGGTGCAGTAAGAGAAATGAGAACTGGAAAATGTACGAAGGCCGGATTCCACTGAAGGGAAATGGAAGGTGAAACTGGCTGAGGCTCCATCTCAGGTCACAGAATACACACCTTGGTCAGAGGGACAGTGCGCCCCCTGTGCGTGCCACTGTCCTAACAGAGCTATGACAAGTGAACCCCAGAGCATTCTTGTGACCTCACTGGGAGCTCAGACATTATCTTCTCTGGAAACAAATCAAGTCAATGACAGAACGATTTAGAGAAAATAATTTCCCTTTATTAATCTCCACATTCATGTCCCTGGATCCTTCTGTACTTGTGAGGAAAAGGCAGATGGGAATTAGATCTTAAAACATAGAGGTATGGAAAAGTCCACTACCATTCCTTGCCTCGGCAGAGGTGGTGGTCTGTCCCCTCATCGAGATGTGGACTGGGATACTCGAGAAGAACAAGAGAATGGCTGACGCTGATGGCTTGCAAAGGAAACCTGAGATTACAGAGACTCTGGAAGTCTCTTGTATTAGACATTCAACCAGAATCTCTGCAAGCTGAAAACTCGGACTTCAACAGCCCTTAAGCAAGGAACTCAGACCCAAGAGACAAGGCAGGTAGTGAAACAAAAGACCAGAGATACCACACAGTACAAAATAGTAATTATTTATATTTTCAAAAAGAAAAATTAACATTTGGAAGTTCTCCCCTGCAGGAAGAGGGGCTAGTCAGAAGGAACAGAACGGCTCCTATGCAGGCGGCAAGTCAGGTACAAACAGCGGAGCAATCAGGGCTGGGGTTTTGTCACATGGCATTAATGACAACATTTCCTTTCTCTTCTTTTGTTCTGTTTGTGCTGTGTGTGTGTGTGTGTGTGTGTGTGTGTGTGTGTGTGTGTGAGTGTGTGTGTGTGCGCTGTTTTTTAGAAAAAGGGTGAGGTGGGGGGGAGAGAAATAAAATCAGAGAAAAATGCCAAAAAACATTTTCCACAATATCTAAAAACAGAGAACCATAGTTCTTGTCAAGACAGTATGAATTCTGGATGAGTTATTTTTTCCAGTTTTCAACACCAATAAAGATTTTTGCAAAAGCCACCACATCAGAACACGCATTTTCCAGATCAAATAACCTCCTTCCCCTTTCCCCTTCACTTGTCATTTTTCATAAATGGATAAAAGGACGTATTCTGTTCTTGCAAACAGTAAGTGCTAACAACGAGAGCTCTTCTGATACTTGTAGGTGGTGAGAAGCTGTCATAAACAGTCAAGTTGGAAGGACTAACATTTGTTTCTCTCAAGATAAATACTATTGGAATCCACAAACTGATTTTTGGGAAATTCTGCAAAAATCCTTTCTTCTTTCCTTTTCCCTTCTCTTAAAACTCCATGTCCTTTCTTTCTTTTTTTTTTTTCCTTTTTGCTCCAGGCACCTGACGATTTGTTCTGCTCAGTCAGATGCAGACAAGTTTCTCCGAAGTACCACCGCTGGGATGTCCTCGGGGCCAGCGCCTAAACTGCATCCCCATAGTATCAAACCTGGCCAGGCCAAGGGAACACAGTGACGCAGCAACAGGCTTTCATTAGGTTGAACAGCCCCGAGTCCTGGGCCCTTCCCTCCCCCCCACTTCCCCCAAGGTATTTAGTGCTGTTTTAAAAGTCTGGGCCACAGTGCAGTCTTTCCACCTCACAACAGAGTAAAAGCTCCACAGATTGCGCTGTCTACCTGGTGGTCAGTGGCAGCAACAGTGGCTGCTGCTTCTGGAAAATAAAGGAGTCTTACATCAGGCAGGATCTTAGGACTGCTTCAGGCGTTTGCGTGGGGGTCCCAGAAAAGGGCACTGTGCTGAAGCCAGAGAGCGGTATGCCTCGGCCACCAAGTGGGGATGTGACACCACCATGGACTTCCACCCAGAGGTCTCCAGGACGTCCGAAGCATGACTAGGAGAAATGCAGAGAGAGGTGTTACCAAAGGGAGCAAAAGGAGGATGAACAGCCACCTAGACAGCCTAACTTCCCAGGGCTTGGAGGAAAGGGTGTAGGCACTAGAAATGCCGAGACAGAACCCTTCCCGTGCATGAGAATCTGCTTGCTAGACTAGGGACCAGGTTGTGGCTGTTGTAATTCTAAAAACTAGGACTTCTCAGCCACTACACTCTCAAAAACAGAGTGGAAAGTTCCTCAGGCTCTTCTCAATATCATCAGTGCTCTCTCTAGTCACTGGTAGTGCTGATGGGGGGGGTTGCAGGGGCTCCCTCAGTCACAGCTCTCTGCTTCCACCTGGCTTGCCATTTGCTAGTTTTGTAACCACAGAGCAGATGACAGCCTGGGGTCTATCTGATTATCAAAAGAGGTGATAATAACCATACTTCATTCAGTGGTAGAGTTAACATCCAAAAGGCTTCAAGCAAGTGTCAGGCACATGGTGAGCGCTAGCTCAATAGGATCAACATTTATGGGTCTCTTCCCTTCCTCTCCTGCCTGTTGGCAGCTCCTTAGAAAGAGCCTTATAACTAGATGGAGAAGACATTATTTCCTGACTTTGGGCATTTTCTGTGTTGAATAATGTCCGCTCATCTACCTGGAACATCTTAGACCTGTCTTTCCCCAGAAATATGCTTTAATGAGGGCTTTTCTTCCTTGGGTTTTTCCCAACTTTTGCTCCCCAGCAGGCAAGGGAGTTGAACATGCCCCACTAAGAAGATGGTACAAATCACCTTGGTTCCTTCAAAGTCATTCAGAAAGACATAATGACAAATCACCTGTAACTTAAGATGAAGGAACAAGCCAGGCTCAATTATGGCTCAGCCTATAATCCCAGCACTTTGGGAGGCTGAGGCAAGTGGATTGCCTGAGGCTGCAGGTTCGAAACCAGCCCAGACAACTTGGCAAGACCTCATCTCTACAACATATAAAAAAACAATTAGCCAGGCATGGTAGAATGCTCCTGTAGTTCTAGCTACTCAGAAGACTGAGGCAGAAGGATCACCAGAGCCCAGCAGGTTGATGCTAGAGTGGCCATGAGTGTGCCATGGCACTCCAGCCTAGGCAACAGAGTGAGACTCTAACTCAAAAAAAAAAAAAAAAAAAAAAGATGAAGGAACAGACCTAGTAGAGTGAACATTTCTCAAAATAGTATTTAACAACCACAGCTACTGAGTCTCTCTTCTCTTTTCTTCATTCTACAATTCAGCATTAGATACATTTGATCAACTCATAAAAAACATATTTCTTTTCCCCAGAAATCTTGATCTCTTAAGTCACTGAGCGTGACATGACATAAAGGTAATATCACTAGGGCACACAGCTTTTTCAGGCCAGCGAGGTATCATTTTCATCAGTTCCAGCCACTATGAGGAAGCAAAATGCTTCACTTATCCAACAGGATTCAACCCATGAAAGCAAAACCAGAAGGAAAGATGAAAACTCTATACTTGCTACCAAAAGGTTAATGAAGCTACTTGCCTGCTTCACTCACTAATCAAAGTCATTCTCATTTCTTTAGCTATCCAGCTATTCTGAAAGAAGAACTTTGAAGATGGCAACTCACTAGTTGATGAAATCCACTGCCTGAGTTTTCAACTGATCTGCGCTGTGGAGGTCAGCCAAGATGAGAATTTCTGCAGCGTTCTCCACGGACAGGTTACTGCAGAGGGCATCTTCACACATGACCTTTAAACGCTCCAGGGCATACTGGAAAACACAAGAACTGCTGTCGTCAGAGCAGCATGGTTTGGGGCCGGCCAACGCTGAGGTCGTCTTCTTGAGCTGTGCCAACTAAACACCCGAACAGAATCACACAGACCAAGAAAAGCTACTACTGCAATTATAAAACGTATATACTCTGAAGGTCAGATGTTTAAGTCTGAAATGAAGACAGCTAAAATAACTTGGGCAGCTGCCATTTAAGTTCTAAAGCCTACCTATTCGAAATATGGCAATTACAAAGTATACCTGCATCCTAAAATTTACACTATCTCCTGGCTATGATGGAAGTCTTTCTTAAACCATCACCACTTAATGCTTACAATGAGGAATTAGCCTGCTTCAAGTCAAAAGGGACTGTACATTTAACATTTCTGTGAACTTTTTACTTAGAGTCAGACACGGGCAAAGCCCAGTCCTTTCTTTTTTTTTTTTTTTTTTTTTTTTGAGTTGGAGTCTCACTCAGTCGCCCAGACTGGAGTGCAGTGGCCACTCCTGGCCACTGCAGCCTCGCCTGCTGGGCTCCAGTGATCCTTCCGACTCAGCCTTCCGAGTAGCCGGAATTACAGGCATGCGCTACCACGCCCAGCTGATTTTTTGATTTATTGTAGAGATGAGGTCTTGCTGCCTAGGCGGGTCTTGAACCCACGGGCTCAGGCAATCCACTCACCTCAGCCTCCCAAAGGCGCGGGATTACAGGCTGAGCCACCGAGCCCAGCTAAGCCCAGTCCTTTCTACGGCACTGTCACTAGCCCGGCAGGACATCCCAACTGGCCCATGAGGCTATGAAAAGGTGCCCTACGGTGACTTTTCCCAGCATCTCTGCCACTAGTTGTTCCTGAATGAGGGTCAACCAAAGGTCTCCTTTTAAACAGAAAAGGATCGATAGAGTTCTATTTTGTTGGTTAAGATTCTCAGGTTAAAAGGACAAAGCAACAGAGACCCTGAATCCAGTTTCAGTTTAAAACTTTGTTTTCCAAGTAAAGGGCATACACGCTCCTGCAATGGCAGGCCTAGGTTCATGCTGGGCACATCTGATCTAGGTGACTGGTTTCGATGCAACTCTGCTGCTTGCTCGCCAATGTGAAATTACGAACTGACTAAGGAACTTCAGGGATAAGAAAGAGGAAGGAAATCAAAGGAGGCACAAAATGAAATGTCATTAATCAGTTCACAGGAGAAGAGTTTGCTTTGAGGTTATCCAAAGTCTTCTTCCAGGCCCTATCTTGAGGGCCCCAGAACTCAACACACAATACCCCTTCAGGTTGATTTGTGGCAATCAGATCAGGACAATTTCATTGTTATGAATTCTGGATGAGGAGGCATGTCTGCTGGCACTGTGATCTCCGGTAGCAAAAAGAGAGTTTTACTGGTTTTAATTTTTTTACATTTGAGTAACTGGAAAACAGTTTACACGGAGAACAGGAATGACACTAGACAAGCAAGAAATGAGGTTGCAGTTTTTGTTTTAAAAGGCTGCAAGGAAGGCTGAGTAAATGTTCAGTCTTTATACAGTGCTGCCCAGATGATTCCTCCTATCCTTTCTCAATACATTCTTTTAAAAGGACTTTTATTGTGAATAGCTCTGCATAATTAGACAAAAGTAGCCATTCTTATCCCTTGGGGGCAAAGTTTTTTTCTTAATTATGCTTCTGAAAAACGTGCCTAATGGCAGTACTTACCCAAGACATTGAAATTGTGTCTCCCAGGCCTGGCCGATGTGTTTTGTTTTGTTTTTGGTCTAATTACACATGTCCCCAGGAGACTGAAAAAGCTCAGAAGAAGCTGTTTCAGCCTCCTGGGTAAATTCTAGATGTTTAGATCCTTCCATGAAAGATTTTTTATTCTGTTTTCCTAAAACTCACAAAAGAGGCGAAAGGTAAAAATGTTTTCAAACAGGCTTGGAGCAAAGATTATCTAATGGGAAATTCTGAATGAAATTTGAAAATGTACCCTTCAGTTACTTCTCATTCACAAATTTAAAGCACTGCCATGATTCAACAGCTCTCTCTTTTAAAAATGCAAGGTAACACATTGTACTGAAAATATCATCCTTGGAATGGCAATTCAGGCTGATCACTCCATGCCCCGTGCACTTCTCTGGCTGAGGAGCAAGAATGAAAAACCAGGAGCCCAGAAGTTTAACCTTGGCTCTGCAGATATACAACTCTGGGCCTTAGAATTCCTGTCTAAAAGATGGGTCTTGCAATTCTATGTATCCTTATAGGATCCAGAAGATGAGGAAGATAAACACCTGATGTGTATACGTATAAGTGACTGCTTCACTGAAAAGCTGAGGGCAGTCGGGCAGAGTCACATTAACATTATAAAAGGTGGGCAGTCGGTTGTATCTTCTATTTTCCCAGAGCTTGCAGAGAATACTTTTTACTGTCTCCATCAAAACCAAGTTCCCCCAGTCAGAATTGAGGTAGACTGGAAGGGTATGGAATTTTCACATTGCTTAACTATACTAAGAAAGCCTTGAAAGGTGACAAGAAGGACAACTATTCTTCTTCTTTAGGAACACTGACTGGGGTGCCATGCTCCATCCTCTGCATATTCTCCAATAAGCTGATCAACAGAGATAAAGCCTCCATACACATGGGCACTTTCCTCTGTCCTCAGGCACAAAAGGAGGAAGAAGAGACTTCCCTTAAGTAAACCCTGGTGCCCTTAGGCTAGAGTCCACTTTCTCCTCAGGACAGGTGTGGCAGCCCCATGGCAGGAAGGGGGGCACTTCCATCAGAGAACCTCCTTTCTCAGGTTCTACTGCTGGTGGGGTTTCAGTCCTTTTAACACCCTCATGCTACTCACCCCTGTCCCCCAACATATGAAATGCTTCCGCAGGATAAATACCAATCCTCTCACCGCCACCGCCCACTCCCTCTCCACCACCCTGCCATAGACCTCAGGGCCTACAAGTGTACACCACCAAGCTCTCGTTGATGTACCCACACAATGAAAGGCAGTTTCCCCATGTGCACGTTGGGGAGCGCTAATCCTCCAGGTGATCCTTGAGAAAAAGGATTCCAGGGTTAACTAAACTGGAGACACATAGTGTGTCATACTCCCTTGTAGAAAACTCGCAGTGCACATTAACATGCTACAGGTTCTGAGACATCCTGCAGTAAAACAGCAACTATTTGACTCAGTTAAACTCAGTGTTTCACAAACCTCTCCCCCTACCTAATTTCTGATATTTCACCTTATTTTGGGACTCACTGACCTGTTATTTTAGGTGATCATCATACTTCTTTAATTCTAAGATCCCTATTTTTATTTTCACACTGTAACATTTCTCCAATTGATATGTGTCTTACAAAGTATATATTTACTATAGTGGTACCCAGAGAGTCATTAATCATCTTACAATTTTGAAGAATACTGTCTATGTCAATAACTACTTAGGGAAAAATTGAAAATGCTAACCAGGACACCAGGTAAAAGATTACAGTCATCTCTCAGTATCCTTGGGTGATTGGTCCCAATAAACATAACAATCTGCAGACACTCAAGTCCCTTATATAAAATGGTGTAGTATTTGCATGTAATCTACGTGCATCCTCCTATACAGTTTAAATCATCCCTCAATTATCTATAATACCTAAAACAATGTATGTAAATGTTATACAGATAGCTGTTATACTATACTGCTTTTTAAACATTTGTATCATTTTAATTGTATTGTTATTTTTGTTTCTTTTTTCTCAAATATTTTCAATCTGAAGTTGGTTGAGTCCACACAGATACGGAGGGCTGACTGTATTCTCTTACTGACAACGTTTAAGCAAGTTAATAAACTAAAGAACATTTTGCAAATTATAAAGCACAATCCAGATGTTAGCATTCTCTGAATCTCTATAACTGTGCTGAAATTTAAGATGGGGGAAAGAAGGGAGGTAAACATCAAACTTACCCCTCTTTTCCATAGTTGGGTGACCACCTAGTTTAGTACTCAAAGCTGGGCACTTTTGAGACTAAAAAGGGTACTATTAATAATTGTGTTGGAACAATATGTGTAAGCCAGGGCTGTCTTGGCCAAACCAGAATATACACTCCTTTTAGCCACATTGCGACAAAGAAGTTCATTCATGAAAGTCAAGAGGTCAGAATACTGCCTACTCCTAGAATTACTTTTTATTCCTAGCTCACCTTGTCAGCAGCTGCCAGCAAATCATCTGCCATTTTGTCGAGGTTTGGAGCCTTCCCCGTGTAAATGAAGCACATCATTTCCTTAAAAACTTCAGGTTCCACATCATTGATTTCAACTCGATTCTATGCCAGAAAAACTGAAAATGAGAAACATTCCAACAGAACAAAATTCTGAAACTAAGCTATTTTCATGATTTTAAGTTTTGGTGAGAAGAGAAGCGTGTACCATGTAAAACCTAACATAGATGGAACATTTCCCTTTGCCCTATTTGACTATAATAGCCTTTTCTCCCCTCACATGTACCATCTTTGTTTTCTCAAACCCCCTCAACAGCAAACAATGATTATCTTTAATTTTTCCTGAGTTTTCTGACTAGAAACACAAGTCTAAACGCCCTCACCCAAAACTCTGTGCATGATCTGCGTGGGCATTATGTGAGTCCACTTTCCCTCCAATGCTTCCAGACCACCTCTCTCTGCTCTCAGAAGGAATCTGCTTAGGGACTTGTACTCCAAGTTAATAATACAGTAAGAAAAAAATAATTAGAAAAACAAATCTGCAGCCAAACAGGGAAATCATCTGATGCTAACTACCTGGCTAAAAAGACATGCCTCCATCCTGTGACATACCTTTTTGCTCTCTTCCATTTCATGTTCAAACATGGCACTAAAAACTGGAGAACGTGCTACAAAGTGAAAGGGAAACAAACAGTTAAGGCCACCACACTGAAATCTCTTGGTTCTTTCAAGTCATGATGAGATCATTTTCTTACCTATCCCATTGCTACAGTAAAGGGTCTCAGCCTCAAATTATACCAGAATTATAAAACCTCTATCTTCATACATTATAACAATGGGCAAATAATTATAATACATAAAGAAAGATAAGTATTTCCTCTACTCCAACCAATCATATTTTAAGGAATTCCTCAAGTTATTATCTATGTTGGATGACAATGCTATGTCCTCTGTAAAGAGCTAGGATTCAAATGAAAGGTTATTTATGGTCAAGCAGAGTGTCTCAACACCTGGGTTTTTGCCTGGAATGATGACATCATACTTTCTGCACCTCCAGGCATCACACAGCAAGAAGGTCAAGGTTGGATGGCATCCAGTAGGCAGAAGTGTATGCTCATTTACAGCAGGATACCTATCCTCCCAAACTATGCAGTATTAACAGATATACTGCCCCTAAGAGGCAAAAATCAGCCTTACATGTTATAGTGGCTTGTAGCCCTTCAAAGCACAACCCTACCTGATACAATCTTCTTACTTAGTATTTAATTTCTCTCATCAGGAACATTTTTAGTTTAGTTTTTCTCCTTAGGAGTGGAGATAATAAACAAAGGTTGAGAACTAGTACTCTAACCCATGCCCATTCTAATCCATGAACCTACCATGAAAAACAAGTAAACTCAATGTCAACCATAAAAAGTAGGCTTTGGTCACAGTTAAGATTACCAACCATTACCTAAGAGTGAAGGAACAGACAGAATATGTAGCAGGGCTCTAAGCTAACAGGGAGCTGAAACTGTTGGCCTATGGTTATAATGTCAGAAAGGACTAACTTTAGACCTGCAACTTTCTTTTTTTTTTGAGTTGGAGTCTCACTCTGTCGCTCAGACTGGAGTGCAGTGGCCGCTCCCAGCCACCGCAGCCTCGACCTGCTGGACTCCATCAATCCTTCCGCCTCAGCCTTCCAAGTAGCTGGAACTACAGGTGCGTGCTACCATGCCCAGCTCATTTTTGACTTATTGTAGAGATGAGGTCATACCAAGTTGCCCAGGCGGGTCTCGAACCCGCAGGCTCAGGCAATCCACTCACCTCAGCCTCCCAAAGGCGCGGGATTACAGGCTGAGCCACCGAGCCTGGCTAAACCTACCACTTTCTAACCGCATTACCTTGGGCAGATCACTTAACCCTCTGAACCTTGGTATTTTATCCCATACCAAAAGGACATTAATTCTCATTGTTCTAATCTCCGAAGGGTTACAGACTATAGTGTACTGAATAAATATGTTACAGTAGTTGAAGACTAAAGGTTTTGTGCTTTTCATGAAGAGGAAAGAGCCCAAAGCAGCAGCTATGTCTTGAGGGGGCCTCAGTACACAGAGAGCAGCTGATGTAATAGGAATAAATGAAATCACTTGAAGAGAAGAAGCAGAGCGAAAACAGAGCTGAAACAGGCCCTCAGGACTCACCATGCTTAAAGGGATGGTTGAGAAGAGGGAGGAGGCCACACATCAGCGTAGTCAGGAGAGAGCCAGGAGAGAGGGTCAAATAGTACATGAACTGAAGAGTTTCTCAAGCTTAGGAACTAGCAGATCACACAACTCTGAAAACTGCTTTTGTAGCATGGAGGTGAGCTGAGGACAAGTGGGAGGAAAGAAGCAGAGAGAGAATGTGCTAACTTGAGAAACTCTGCTCTGGGAAAGAGGGAGATAGAAGAACTAGAGGAAGAAGCCTGAGCTTGTTTACAAGTGAGCGTGAAGAGGCAACAATGGAAAACAAGATGGGAAGATACCAGATAGCAAGGAATAACTGGGGGAGAGCAGGGTTTCTGAGAAGGCAACATGGGACACAAAACAGCAGAAGCAGAAAAAACAGTCTGCTTTGTCCACAAAAAAGAACACTTCCATGAGGATGCAGGGGAGGTGAGAGGCAAGAGTTGAGCAAGTTTCTACACATGGCCTTGAACTTCTCTTGGAAGAAGTAGGCAAGGTCAATTTTAGGAGTTGGAGGAGGTTAAAGAAGAGTGGTGACGGTCAGAAACAGCTATCACTGAGGAAAAGGGAGCTGCCTTTGTCTCTGTAGAACATTTCCTTGGCAGTGCTGACGGCCCAGCTGAGCATGGAGACATTCCCCTAAGAGTGAACTGCTTCTCTGAGCGTTGAACAGTAGTACCTCGTTGAGAGACAAAACAGGAAGATGTTACATGGAGCCAACTTGCGTTTTACCAGGTGTGTGCTCGAGAATGACAGAGCTAAGGGCATGGATAAGAAATGTGTTGTCTGAGGGGTCACGCGATCTCCTCCTAGGTCTTATGGTCTGAAGAAGTTTGTGACTGACTGCTACCCTCTCCTGTGAGTCCTCCCTCAACAGGTCCTCCTCAGTGTCAGGCTCTCTGGTCTCAAGGACCAAGGCCTATTACAGCAAGACCTGATCCTCCACGCCAGGGGCGACAGTCTCATTCCTCTAGTGTGTTTATATCAAAGCGAGGGCTAAGCCCTCCATGGCTGGGGACTCAGCCAGATGGTACTTAGTCCTGAGTCCAGAATCCTCTCCATTCCATGCTAAGCACCTGTCTAGGGGCTGACACCTATTCTTTTTCTTTTCAAAAATATTTTATTTTATTTTAAAAACGTGGGATACAATTCAGGATTAGGTATACAAGTGGTCATCGTACAGGTAAAGTTTGGGCCTCCCCTTGGTCCCCACTTTGCCTGGTTTGAGATCAGGTACCCTTATTGATGCTGTGTTGTTCCCTCTCCCCCCGCCCTCCCACCATCCCTCCCCCGACCCCCCACAGTATCCCGCTACTGTTAATCTCTTTTTTTTTTTTTTTTTTTTTGAGTTGGAGTCTCACTCATTCACCCAGGCTGAAGTGCAGTGGCATGCTCACGGTCACCTCAGCACTGACCTGCTGGGCTCCGGCGATCCTTCCGCCTCAGCCTTCCAAGTAGCCGGAACTACAGGCACACGCTACTAAGCCCGGCTATGCCAATCCCTTTCTTCTAGTGTTATGATAAATGTTCAGGGTCCACTTATGAGTGAGTGACACCTGCTCTTAACCAGTGCTTGGACATCTGCTCTCTAGGGCCAAAGGCAAATAATGCCTCTGTATATCAAATTCCACTCCTTGAAAACGATGGCCTAAGTCCAGTACAGAGAGGAAAAACAGAAATATCATGTTTATGGCAGACAGCCTTTTTGGTTATGAGCACTAATGTCACCACAATACAAAAATATTTTTGGCTATAGTTTTTTTGGCAGCTGAGTTTTAAATGCTGAAGTTGTTCAAAAGGTGATTAGGCAGTCACTGTTTCTCCTTATTTCACAAAACTATAAAGCTCCCCGTGAATAAATACCCACCTGCTAAGATCGCTTTGTGAGCCTGGAATTCCTGGCCAGCAACACACAAGCAGCAGTCTGTGAACCGGGAGTTCTCCCACAGACCCCCTAATTCGTCAGCAAGCCGGCACTCAGGAACCTTTACCATATTCATGGTGTTCTGGCCAGAAATGTTGACAGAATCTTGCACCACACTCACCTATGAAAGACAAGAAAAAACACACCAAGCTTTGGTTACCAAGCATTCTTTAGCCAGCAGGCAGAGAGATGACTTTTACCTCATTGCAATATATTCACATACTAATATTAATCATATTCTCTTGAAACCACCTCCTCAAATCAAGGCTTTAGCCCTGGATCAAGTAACGTGTTTTCCCCCCTTTTGAAAAGGGAGTCAGTGTCACACAGGTTGGAGTGGAGTGGCCTGACCATAGCTCACTAGCTCACTGCAGCCTCAAACTCCTGGGCTCAAGCTATCCTCCCATCTCAGCCTCCTGAGTAGTAGGAACTACAGGTGTGTACCACCATGTCTAGCTAATTTTTTATTGTATTTTTTTTGTAGTGATGGGATCTCTCTATGCTACCCAGGCAGGTTTCAAACTCCTGGCACTAAGTAATCCTCCTGCCTCAGCCTCCCAAAGTACTGGAATTACAGGTGTGAGCCACCGTGCCTAGCCCATTTAGTTAACCTATCTGTCACAATCATATTTAATTAATTATTTATTTATTTATTTATTTATTTTGAGTTGGAGTCTCACTCTGTCAGTCTGGAGTGCAATGGCCACTCCCAGCCACCGCAGCCTCGACCTGCTGGGCTCCGGCGATCCTTTCACCTCAGCCTTCCAAGTAGCTGGAACTACAGGTGCGCGCTACCACACCCGGCTCATTTTGATTTATTGTAGAGATGAGGTCTCGCCAAGTTGCCCAAGGTGGGTCTTGAACTCGCGGGCTCAGGCAATCCACTCATCTCAGCCTCCCAAAGGCACGGGATTACAGGCTGAGCCACCAAGCCCAGCTAATCATACTTATTCTAAACCACTTCAGAACAATGGGAGAGGATCCCACAAATTTCCTTTTCCTCCAGTTTTTAATAAGCTCCACCTACTCTGCATTACAAACCTGTGCACTGCCAGAGAAAAAAAACAGAAACCAAAGTTAAACCTCAAGCATTTACCTTATTCTGCTTTAAGTTAAATAGAAATGTCAAATACAAAGTCTTATAGACACTACCATTTAAATTAAATGCTCTAGGGACAAGAATCTAAAACTTAGCCTTATTTTAGAAAGATCTAGAACATACACATGAAATGCAGCTTCTTCAGGGCCTGGAAAATAACTGGCACATCCTCAAAAATGTTAGTCTAATGAACACGATGTTACTGACCCCACTATCAGTAAAGACTAGGCTTGGGAGCTCTTTCCAGTAGTGATAACTGGGGGAGGGGGAGTATGCCACAACTTTACACCCTAAATCATCTGTGATAATGCCATGCAAGATGGCTGGCTCCAGATCCACATGCATTTACACCTTTGGAACAGAATAACAAGAGGCTTATAGAGGAATCCAACTTCCCACCATGGCTTCAGCAGGAGCACGTCATGTATTAGACAGTTTCATTAGCTGTTCAGTCTAGATAAAAACCAAGTTAACTTCTAGATGGGTTGTTAACTTCTAGATGGGTCAGTGAAACTCAGATAAACTTGTTAGGGTTCCAAAAACAAGGATTTTTAAATCATGTAACATTATAAAATAAATGTCAGCTACCAAACTGTGGATAAAACCCTGCAGATCCATCGCCTGCCTGACAATCATCATGATGCTTTCCCTCCCACATCACGTTTGGTTAGAAAAGTTTAATTTAAAGCAGAACCCACAAACCTTGAGAATTAGTTCTCCATTCTTGCTATTCCTATGAGTCAGATGAGAAAGACAGTTTAGAAACATCCTTAATGACCCAGATTTCTTTTAACCTTCAAGATGCAAGTCATTCCTTAAACGCAGTCATAAACCCAGAGGCAAAGTTAATGACCTGTAGTCCCTTCTGTGCAGGAGTGAGATATTTACTATCAGGTCAAGAAATTTATTCATTTGTTTAAAACTAGCTGTTACAGTCTTGAGCAATGAAGCAGCCAAGTTAATCAATTATGAATGTGCTTGGCATTAGTAGCACATTTATCAGAGCCAGATTATAACATTATTTTAAAAAGCCTGGGACCAAACACAACCATTCCAGAGGGATTCTCTCTTTTTCTCTGGAAGATCTCTAGTTTAGTTCAGCCACTTTCTCATATTAATGCCTTCACTTCTTTGATATAGTATTAACAACAAAAGCAGAATTGTCCAGTTATAGCTCCAAAATACTGATTAAAAAAGGGGGCAATCCCCTGGGAATGCCTCCCACTATGGGGGCTTTTCTGTCCTCTCAGTAAATCCTGCTTTCCAAAAAAAAAGGAAAAGACCAATTAAATCCAACTTCCTCTTAGGAAAAGGCAGGAATCTCCTGGGATGACCAATGAAGGGAATGGAGAATGTTTTTGGCAGTGGGTTCCCCTAGCTTGAATTAAACCAGGTTGACAGGAGCCCAAAGTCATTAATGCTTGATGGCGATTTAGAAGACTGGGTGAAATGAAGTGGCAAGAAGAGCTAAACTGAATTTTACTTATCAAACTATGGCTACCGGTGGATCTTCTGCTGGTTAGATGCATGTTTGGTAATGAGGGTCCCAAAGACTGTGACATCTCTCACTGGGACAATTTCTCTCTCTGGACACAGACAGGAACACAGCAGGAAAGAGAATGTACCTTTACTGTCTGAGTCAGGCTTGTTTTGTGGATATATAGATGCCTGGAGTCTCCAGAGCTCTGAATGTCTGGCACCTCTCACCAACATTAAATATGCTTAATTAAAAATAAATTTTAAATGGCATTCACAAATGAGTCTTCAGAGCCCAAACTTTTAGCTTAGAAAGGAATTGTTTTCCTCTGCAAATGATGATGCTAAAATGAGAACATGTTGAGAAAAACTAAAGATCTTTTTTTTAATGCCTATAAAGTTGACTACGGAGACTCATTCAGAATTGTAGCTGGGGAGATGATGTGACCGTGACATTTATGTTGTCTTATGAATGACTGGATGAAAATATCTCAGGAAGGCTGCATAATCCCCTAAATCACAAGTTGTAAAAGGGTCTCACTTTTAAAATCAATTCCTTTTCTTAAAAAAAAAAATTTCATAAAAGATTGTGCCAATTCTTGTACATTTTATCTAAACATAAAGTCAAAGTAAATGGAAATGCATTTTTAACTTGTACATACTTTTAAAAATCAAGAAAAAATAAACAGACACTGCATACAAATGACTTATAGCAGTAACACTACTTCTACTAACAAAAGATTAGTAACAACCTATATGCCCATCAGTAAGAGAATGAATAAACTGTACATTTACACAAGATTATATATAGCACTAAAAATGAACGAACTCTAGTTGCATCCACAATATAAATTTTAGAAACATAATGTGAAAAAGTAAGTCCTAGATGACTACATACAGTCTGATACCATTTTTATAAAGCTCAAAAACAAGCAAACCTAAACATATTATTCAGATATACAAACAACAAACGAGAATGGTAACATAAAATTCAAAACAGCTCTTTATCATCCCCTGAATGGGGGGACAAATCTCAGGGATGGGGAAAAGCAGCACACACAGGTGAGTTCCAAGTTACCGGTGAGGTTCTTAGATTTACTACACTAGCATGCTTTATAATGTACAATGTTGCTACTTAGTAAATCACCATTTTTGTAGGTCAAGAACAATCAAATACTGGCATTTTGGTATAGTGCAACTAATATAGCCAAATTATCCATTAAATAAAGAGAGTAAAAGGAAAAAATAAATAGATCCACTTCTTTAAAATTTGGCAAAAATACATATTCCCAGGCTATGACAAGTCAGTCTAAGCTTGAGAAGAGCAGGGATGTTTTAAAAGAGTTAACTAATGCCTGAATATTTCTTATTTGGTCTTTCATGTTTCATGTTATTTCACACTGCAATTTTAATTTCAACATCATAAAGAGATGCCGGGATTGTCTACCTGTCAAAGGTATATATAGTCAGGTGAGAATTCATTGCTAACAGCTATTTGTTTTCAATATAAATCACTGGAGAGAAGGGTCAATAGAAGCTGAAGCATTTCATGAAGATTTTCTGGGGATCAACTTATTAAAGAGAAAATTAAAAGTGTAATTTAACATGCTTTCATCTCTCTCTATTTTATTTTTATCTTGAGAGACAGAGACTCACTACATTGCCCAGGCTGGAGTGCAGTGGATTTCCACAAGCACACTGGAGTACTGCAGCCTCAAACTGCAGGGCTCAAGTGATCCTCCTGCTTTAGCCTCGGGAGTAGTGGGGCCTACAGGCTCTCATGTCTCTCTCTTTCATTACCAAAGTAAATACTCTCTGTCAAGAAAACTTGAGTGAGCTAATGCTTCCTTGGGTGAACAGTATTTGGCTGCACTCAGTATAGTGTAGCAGACTAGAGATGGAAGATGAAAAGCTGACATTCATTTGCCGCACAATGTTAGGAAAAATTACCTGACCTCCCTAGGCACTGCTTTTCTCCCTTGCAACATGAAATGAAAAAAAAAAAACAGAATTAAATCTAGCTCAAAGAACTGTAATAAGAGACAACTCACAGAAAATGCTGTGAAAATGCTTTCAAATAAGTTAACAAAGCAATATCAACATGGAAGAACGACCGTATTTCCTAACAGATAAAACACCACTGAGAATTGAAAGGGATCCCAGTGTCTACGGCTGGACATACCACCCTGAACATGCCTAATCTTGTCTGAAAGTGAATCCACTGTAGCATGTTAAAAACAAGACCACCCATTCGTCATTTTCAGAGTCTACAATCTAACTTCATTTAAACATTCAAGAGAAGTTAATACCACTGATAAAAAGGCCAAACACAAATGTGTGCTTCTCAGTCTTTCACCTCAGGATTCCCTCTTGTATCCTCTGGGAGCACCAAAAACCATGAACCAACTGCATCAGGATAAGACAGAAGTGCCTGACACAAAGGCTGAGTGAGGCATGGAGCACAGTAGGGTACTTAGAATCTAGATTTCTATGTAAATCTCAACTCCATAAAGGCCTCTAAACAGCAAGAAAACACTAATTAAACCAACAATAAATATAAATGAGTTAAAATAAACTTGTTTATAAATAGTTCACTGAGAAGAGAAACAATAGGTCAAAGGGATAGAATGTGCACCACAAATGATCTAGCGATGAAAAGTGCTAAGAACACACATGAGCTGCAGACATCTCTAAAACCCACACATCCAGTACACACCCCCACACAACCGTCTTGCAATGCTGAATGCTACTAAGTCCACAGAGAGCCTTGGAACAGAAATGAGTCTCACTAGGCATAAGCCCAAGTATGAGAAGCAACACTCAGCACCTGTGGCCAACAGAGAAGTGTGAGAAGAACAGATGGCACACCTGGTTCAATGGTAAGAAACCGATGGCATCAGCAGAACCCAGCAGACGCTTCCCTGTTCAACATCTCATCATTTCCAAAGTGTCATCTCACTTCCTATCTAAGTCAAGGCAAATCTAAACTTAACCACAGGATTTCTCCTAAGAGAATTTCATATGGGGAAGTGAAAGGAGAGAGAGAGCGAGTTGGAACTCAGCCTCAGACTTAACCACAGGATAAGAGACTGCCAAGTGAGGGCAGGCCAACAGGTTTTCAATCAAGAATGTCAAGACAGGGCTTGGAGCAGCTGGACTGAACTGGGGAGAGAAGGGGAAGTATATGAGAAAAGGATGGGCCTGAAAATGCTATAATAAAGGTTATGGCATTGCCTGGCATTGTGAGATGCAGTATTTAGAGATTTTCTTCAGAGAACAATCTCAGTTGGCTTTCACCTCCAACTAGAATTTTCCACTATTTTTAAGTTTTTCTGAAAAGGCTCTAAGATAAGTGAAACTATGGTCAGTTTATACAACATCTAACCTTAAACAAAACCACCTAATTGTCTTCATTTCTTCACTTGGGCAACTGAGTATGATCTGTGACATGCTAAACTAAAATGGAATTCAAATTTCAAATTAATCAAACATAAAACTGTCACATTTTATGTATGTATATAGATGCTATCACACTGGTATTTCCTTCTTTCACTCAGCGATTAAAAAGGAGAGGAGATAGCGATTATGCAAACCATAATTGACCTAGTCAGTGTGGTTTTAATAAACCATGCCTGCAAAGTTTTCTGATCATTAGGAACTACTCTGTTGAAACATAGAAGCCTGCTACTGCCGGCCAGGCCTCTTCTGCAAAAGGGCAAAATTCCTAAGGGACTCCCTTCTCTGCTACATAGGTGGTGATATGCCTTTGAAACTGCCATTAACTCACAGTGGGAGCCTATTATTTGACAGAGAGAGTTGGCAACTGGAGAACAACTGCGTCCCCCCCATGATGATTCAGTGATTATTATCAGGGGGTGATGCACAGAAGCGGTTTCCCGGCCATACGATGTACAAGGAAAACTAACACCCCAGATGACTGGAGATTTTATTCATTTATTACACTGTGAGCTCATGGGCATTTATAAATGTATTCACAGCAGCATGAAATGACTAATTAGCATATACTCATTAAGGAAACCACTTTTCAACTCACTCTCAGTTTGGGAATTTTACTTCCAGGCTTTCCTGTAAACCTGGGAAATACTCAGGTCATTGATGAAGACGCTCCTAGCTGACTATAGCTAACGCTTCCAGCAAACTATGAGTTAGAGAGCTTCACACAGCTTTCACCCTAGAAAAATGGTTCTCACCTTCCTATTTCACAATTACTCCAGCAAGCCAAACCAAAGGCACTCAATTTCTGCTAAGAGTCATCTAGTGCAAAGAGCCAAAGGGGGAAGTGGTCCGCAGGCACACACGCATGGCCCTCACACTCAAGGAGGAGCCAGAAAGTGCAGCAGACACACATACTGAGGTGCTGGCCATTCTCCTCAGCCGGAAGTGACAGTTCTTCCGAATGCTATCTGAAAAAAAAACCCATAGTGAAAAAGCCAGAATCCTGACTCACGTGGCTTATAACAGCACACAATCTTTGTTTTTAAGAACAGTAACAAGAAGAAAGCTGAGATGCCCAACACCTTGATACCATGAGAGAGTTCAATCAGCCATATAAATAATGTTTGTGCAGCACTACTTCACTTGGGGATTTTTCTCACTCTACATCCCTGATACAGGACAATTAAGTCTGCCAAGACTCATCAGATCTGGGACTTGTCAGGCTCACAGTGGGGTAAAAGGTCTTACCTCGCAGAAGAGTGTAAGCTTGTCATCAGGGAGAAGCCCGTTGGCCTCATCCAGGAGAAAATCTCTACGGATGAATTTTTTGAATCCCCAGTCTTTGCCTTGCACAAACCTATATGCCCGTTGACTCTCTGGGGTGAAAAAAAAAAGTCACATTTAGAGTTACTCAAAAACCAGACCAAATCTACAACTTGTTAGTGTACGAAGTTGCTGGATGTGAAAGTTAAGAGTCAAACAAAGAAGAACTTTACCCATAGCTTTGGTTTCCTCTCCCTTGGCATTCAGGATGGAGAATTTGAATTTTGCCCGAACTTCACTCTTTGGACAGCTGACCAGTAACAGATAAAGTGACAAGTAATCTTTGCTTTCTTCATCTAGCCCTTTTGGGTTTACTCGCAAACACCTGTGCAAAATAGATAGAAAAAAGGGTATCAGAAGCATCCATATTTATAGGCTCGTAAGGTGATAAGATAGAAATGGAAAATCAAAACCAACAGAGGGAGATGTTAAAAAGAAAAAGCCTCCATACCAGAAGATCATGATTCAGTAGAATGACTAATTGGAAACCACTTTTCTAGAGCCATCAGGGTCATCTTTTAAAAAGTAACAAAAATAAAGGGGTATTCTAGAATCTGACAGCACATCCCTTACATCTCTGCCTTTCTTCTTAATCTCTCATTATTTTTCCCTCTGAAATATTTTAAACTTCAGCTTAGCCTTGCTCTCTTCCAATCCTCAATCTGAGGAAAGGCAGTCCTTAATTTTGTTGGAACTATGAGAAAACCATGGGAAAAAATGTCAATAAGCCCTTTAATATCACCTTGGGGGAAAAAAGTATTCTAGATAAACATGTGAATAGTACATAATCTTTTACAGATATTTTAGCAATCTGGCAATAACATTCTAAGATTAAAGTAAAGGAGGCAACATGGAGGAAGCACACACAAAAGTAAACTCCCATTACACAGGCTAGAGTTCCCAGCCAGAATTCTAGAGTCAGAGATGCCAATCTGTTACAGATGAAGCAAAACAAAATTCAGAAAGAATTTAACAGGTTCAACTACAATGTAAAATGTCATTAGCTGAATGCATGTGGTTCAGACACTGTTTTTAACACATAGGCCATATGTACCCTTGGGCCCTGCCAGTGTTACTGCACCCTTCACAAATAGGAAGTGCAAATTCCCCATACACTTTGCTAATGATATAGATTTAAATACAATGTCTAGCAATAAACATATCTCTCAACACTTAGGAGTACCATGCATAAGTATATAGACAACAAGTACTAAATGAATGAATAAACAACTCTTCAGTGGGTTATCCGAGGTCAAAACTGGTGGCTCAGAGACATGTGTTTTGGTCTTTGCAGTGGGTATATGGTTGTATCCTTATCTGCCTGCTCTTCCTTTTCAAGAGGTCATGTGGTTTGGATGGGACTGACCCCTTACACTCCTAAATCATATGTTCTTTGCTCCAGGGATTAGGTCATGAAATGCAGATAATAAACCAATCAGTGCATATGTGACAATTCTTTTTTTTTTAATTAAAAAAAATGAGTCTCATTATGTTGTCCAGGCCTCAAACTCCTGACCTCAAGCAATCCTCTTAGCTCAGCCTCCTGAGTTGTTGGGATTATAGGCGTGAGCCCCCGCGCCTGGAGAGTATGACATATTCTTGGCTACATAGTTAGTTCAGAGAAAGCTCAAAGACTTTTGCTGGCAAGTAGTGGGTTATGCCCATTACTACTACTAGTCATCTTCAAGCATAAAGGCAAGCTAGACTTGAGATATGGAAGGCAGAGCAGAGACAGATGGGGTCCTTAATTTTGGCCTGCTGGATCAAACTAGCTTCTCATACCTTAGCCAGTCCAGTTATATAAGCTAATAAATCCCCTTTATTGTTTAAAAGTAGGAAACTTTAAAGTCAAGAAATGTTATGTCAAAATCTAGATTTCTTGCTTTTTTTGAAAAGTCAGAAAATCTGGCAATGGTCAGCTCTTATTCATGCATAGTTATAGTTAGCAGGAGCTGAATAGCCACTTCCCCTTTCAGAAGGACACTCACTAGTTTGCAAAGTAGTCACCACTTATATCACGTATGGATAGCACTTATAACACTGGCCTTCTTTACTCATTTACATTACTCAATAGCTTGAGCCTGCTGATCCCTGATATACTCATTGAATTAATTCAACAGATATTTAGTGAGCGCTTATTGTGTGCCAGGTATTGTGCTAGGCACTGGGGAATATAGTAAGAACAAAACAAAGTCCCTGCCTTCAAGGAACTTACTTTCTAGTCTGTGTCTCATAAAACCAAGCAAAACAGGCAACTTTTAGAAAAAATTTTATAGCTAGATGTGTTCTTCCTCACCATTTCAGTTTATCATTGGCTCCTGATGAAAAAGTTGAACTTTTAATGACTTCACCCATTTCCTCCCGGCAAAAGCTAAAGTTATTGATGGTCCACATGTAGGAGAATTTCACTACCTTGATCTGTAGATAGAAAACCAGGAAGCAATTAAATAGAAAGTAGAGAACCTGAAAATCTGAAAAAAACAGACTGCAGATCAGACAATCATTTCCCCTCCTTCTCTCTGCATGATCCCAACAGGAAGACAGCATTGTTTTCAGCTTTTTCTCACCTTACATTCCTCATCCACATTTAAAGAAATCTCACGCTGACCAACTGCTTTTTTTGTTCAGCTGCTGGATGGAAAAACACACACAAGGAAAAAACCACCACCATGGACAGGGTTGGGAAAGCATATGCTAAAACTGGACCTGAAATGATTCTCTGCAATGAAGAGGTTGATGGCATTGCCCGGGGTTACACATCTCACACTTGGTTCCTCAACAGAGGAACCTCAAAACACACGTCCATCAAGGAGCATGTAAGTGTATCTAGTTCCAAAGATTACCCCTTTCAACATCCATTGACAGACATTAGTCTAGGGGATTCAGATTCCATGGAGAATGCCAAGGAATCAAAGGCTAACAATACTTTATCAGCTCCTTGGTAGTTATGTCCCAGAAAAAGCAGGTCACCCAGTGGAGAAGAGTAATCTATTCTCTTCATCCACCAAATCCTCCCAAGATGCAAGACTCACAGTTGACAACCTGAACTTACCTGTGTGTAGCACCAGCTCTCAGCTACGGGGCCACTCGACATTTCTGCCGGAGGTGGAGGACTTGGAACCCTTGACATCGCCAGCTTGAAGGTTAAACAAGATTTCCAAAGTCAGGGGGTAAAGATTTCTGTTCTCTCTTCACCCTGGTCAGAAGCAAGAAGACCTTATTAAATGATTGTGTACTATCCTATTTGCTTGACCTTGTAGACACTGGGAACTTTGTCTTCCTACTATTCAAATGCCTCCTTGGCATTCAGGTCCCCAATTTAAAGGTTAACCTCAAAGAAGACCACCTAATGTAAAGTAGTCTCCTAGTCACAATTGTATCAGCCTGTTTTAATACTCTGCACAATACTTAACATTATCCTACCAAATGAATATACATACTCAAAGGGTATATAATGAACACTTGTGAAAAGGCTACCTGAAGATGAGACAGCAGAGTTAACACCAGACATAACTTCTCACAAGCTCCTTCCCTTGGGACATGAGCTCTCCACTCCTTAGGCAAAATGACCTTGGTAGCGCTCTAACTTTGCCTCGCCTTTTCCTCCACTTCACTGCAAACCTGAGTAGTCTTCTACTCCTCAACCCATGGCTAGCTGCTCCTTGTACGGCAACATGTTTATGCCTTTCTCAGCTGTGTCCCTTCTCAGGGGCTCTAGAAATCCTCCCTGCTTACACTCCCCCATCACCCACATTTTCACATGCTGTTTCTGCTCTGTTTTGTGATCATGCCTCAGTCTCTTTTACTGGATTTTTTTTTTGAGTTGGAGTCTCATTCTGTCGCCCAGACTGGAGTGCAGTGGCATGCTCCTGGCGACCACAGCCTCGATCTGCTGGGTTCCAGTGATCCTTCTGCCTCAGCCTTCCAAGTAGCCAGAACTACAGGCAAGCGCTACCACGCCCGGCTAATTTTTGATTTATTGTAGAGACAAGGTCTTGTCAAGTTGTCCGGGCTGGTCTCGAACCCGTGGGCTCAGGCAATCCGCTGGCCTGGGCCTCCCAAAGTGTTGGAATTACAGGCTGAGCCACTGAGCCTGACAGCAAATTTTTTTAATTGGGTGAATTTGGTTACAATTTTTAAGCAACATAAATAAAGCCAAAAGACAAACTAGAAAAAAAGCTTGCAATTCATGGCAAAGGAATAATTTTATGAATATATAAAAAGTGATATGTAAATGGTTTCTACAAAATCAATTAGAAAAGGGTCATTTATCCTATTAAAACATTGCTGACAAAAAGAAAAACAGAAATGCGAACTCAGAACTGTCCCAAAGCTCTGAATCAGAAACTCTGGGGGTGGGGCCCGCAATCTGTTTCAGAGATTCGGATGCACTCGACTTGGAAACCACTGCTCTAAAGTATATATATCCATTAGAACAACAAGAAAGGAAAAAAAAAAATCAACCACACCATGTATGGGGAAATGGGAAATGTCATACTGCTGATGAGACTGTAAATTACAAGCATATTTTGGATAGGAATTTGGCCATATCTAGCAAAGTTAAAAACATATGTACCCTAAGACTTAGTACTTATACTTTTAACTATACATGCAGTAGAGCAGTGGTTCCCAAGTTGTGTGCATCAAAATCTCTGAAACAGATTGCTGGCCCCACCTCCAGAGTTTCTGATTCAGAGGGTTGGGATGAGTCTGAGTTTGCATTTCTAACAATTTCCCAGGTGATCCTGATGTGCTTGTGGAACTACATTTTGAGAACTACTGCCCTAGGGAAACTCTACACATGGGCACAAGAAGGCATAGACAAGGATTTTCAACGTGGAGCTGTTTATAGGTAAAAAAGTAGAAATAAACTAAAAATCCATTAGTAGGGGAAGAGATAACTAAATTGTATTATTTCCAAATAATGGAAAAACTATACTGCAGGATTTAAAATTAATGAACTAGATCTACAGCACCATGAACATCAAACAAAGTGCTAATAAAAAAAAGCTAGCTTGGGAATAAGTGTGGTATATTATTTATGCAAATTTAAGGTTTATGTATTATTTATACATATATGCATGCAGTAAAAGTAAAAAAACCTGACAACCTATGTACCTGACAATCAGTTTCATGATAGGAAAAGGAGGAGGAAGAATGAGACTAGGAAAATATAATACACTTCAAGTTTATCTCCTATGTTTCTTTTAAAGTAAGGACATGAGGCAAATATGATAATACAGATATCTGTTAGGTATGTCAGGTACTTGAATATAAACTACTCTCTATACTGTTCTGCTTTTTTTTTTTTAATGCTATAGCAACAGTGTAATGATCTATTCCATCATATCCGGCTTATAATTTCTTTCCTAAATACCAGGTTTGTTTTCAGCAAGGACAGGTATGAATCTTATAACTGATTGTGTTGTCCTCTTTGCTTGGCTACTAGGAAACCCTGAGACAAATTTGTGACTCATCTCTTAAAAAACCATAAGCCCATATGTATATTTTATATGCTGTATTTCATAAAGGATCATATGCTCATTCTACAATAGCGTTATTATTTCCTTAATTATTCCCTTTGCTATAATTTCCTTAACTTTTAATCTTTTATATGTAAAATACTTTTGGAATCTGCCTCAAATTCCTTAGTAGAAAGTAATGTAACTAGCAAAAAAAAATCACTCAATAGTAATTCAACTCCTAAACATTCACTGATTACTTAAAATACACATGAGAAAGATTAATAAACTATAGCTGTCACTTCACAGAGTAATATTATCAATAAATGAAATTAAATGCTGTTCTCATTGGTTGTAAACACTATCCTACAGTAATTCAAGCATCTCATGTAAGCACAGATAAAAGTAACAGTCTTATACATGGTGTGCTGTCTCACTCAAGCTAGCAAACTAAGCACTGCAATGGCATTTGAGCTCTCTGGCTCCTGTGGTTCATGATTCCATGATAAAAATAAAAACAGAGATCAAAAGCTACTGTGGGCACCTCCAAGGTAAGCTTGCATTTGATGGAAAACACATTCTCATAGAACTGTTTATTTTTCCAATAACAAGTAAATATAACCAAGCCAGTTCTAATTAACAGCCAGAATGAAATTTCAAAATTCCTACTTTGGGGTAGGATGGCAATAAAGATGTGAATTTTATATGTTGGTTAAGAACAAAAAATTTGGCTTTGGAGATGTGGACTGCAGGCACAGCTCGACATTAAGTAATTATAAAAAACTAATTTGAGCTTATTTTGAAGTTAAAAAAACCCTACAAATGTATCTAACAATTAACAACTTTCAAATTCTCTAAGCCCAAGGAAAGGCCAATTTTTACAAACCAGTTTATTTTAATGCCTTAATTATTGCTACTGAACCACGATCCATTACTGCAAATGGGAAAAAAAATATTACTTTGGTCTTGGTCATTTTTCCATCTTTTTTGCTTCTGACTAATTTTGTAGCCAAGTTTTTTTTTTTTACATAACACCAACTTTCTTCCAATTTTTAAAAATGTCCAACCAATCCTACAGCCAGTAAAACTGGAGACTCAGTCTCATACTCAGAAGAGCTCTAATCACACAAACTTCTGAGAGGGAAACAGACTAAGATAGCACAACTCTAATTTCATTCATAGCAGGCACCAAGGGGCAAAGGAGTCTGGTGCTACATGAACTCTAGCACTTCACGCCAACTGCTGCAGATGCCTAGCAGAAAAATAGTTTTAGAAAAGAGATCTACTTGAGGGTCATAGTTTGAGAACCTTTGCAGGAGACACTAAAGCAAAAACATATTGTTCCTGGCTTCAAACAAGTTAAGACAAGTATGTCCAAGTTCTGTATTAATTTTATTTTCCAAAGCTTACCAAACTTTCTAGCACTCCGACAACTCTGAGGCTAAACATGTCTGCTATATACCATCATTTATTTTCCTGCTTACTCTATTAAACCCTGACCTGTGAGGATGGACCTCTTCCAGTTACAATTTTTTAAAATGTACTTTAAAATATCTTTGTCAACTGTAGTACTGCTTGAAGTTCAATGGAAGTAGTATCAGCTAGCAACTAACAGTAATCGCTAATGGAATGCTTACTAGCAGGTATTATGAGACCATGAAGTCATTAACCAGTTTTGGACAAGTCAAGTCAATCAATATAATATGATTTCTAACTAGAACGTTAAACTTTGGAGGACAGAAGTAAAAAAGAAAATGTATTACTAATATGAAAAGTATTATACAATATGAAAAGTTGTATTCTTAATATGAAAAGCTCCAAAATCCACAGCACCAACATATTCACTCATGGAGCACTTTGGATTTCAGACTTTCAGATAAGAGATGCTGAACTGGTAAGTAAAATGCAAATATATTCCAAAAAATCTGAAAAGACCTGAAAACCAAAACAATTCTGGTCCCAAGCATTTCAGTAAGGGCTACTCAGCCTGTAAAGCTGTCATGAAACACAGACGCTTTCAGTTAAACCTCCTGAGCACTTCTTTTCTGCCTTCTTTTATACTCTTGAACACTTCTGCTGCCTGCTGAAGACTTTAAGCTCCTTAAATAGAACTTGCAACTAACTTTTAGGATCTATTCCCTTATCACCTAGCACAGCCTGCCTGGAAAAGAAGGTATTCAATAAAAACACTCTAGTTGGCCACAGTGGCTCACGCCTGTAATCCCAGCACTTTGGGAGGCAGAGGCGAGAAGATTGCCTGATCCCGGGGTTTGAGACCAGCCTGGGCAACATGGCGAGATCTTGTCTCTACAATTAAAAAAAAAAAACCAAAAAATCAAAAACAAAAAACAACATTAGCCAGGCGTGGTGGCACATGCTTATGGTTCCAGCTACATGGAAGGCTGGGTGGATCACTTGAGCCCAGTAGGTCGAGGCTGTGGTGTCTGTAAGCATGCCACTGCATTCCAGCCTGGGCAACAAAGTAAGACTCCTACAAAACAAAAACAAAAACAAAAGAAACCAAAAAACACTCTGATGACTGAGGCACTCATGCAATTGCATTCAAGTTCATTAACTTTTATGCTTGTTTTTTTTCACATATCTCAACAACAGCTCTCTGAACAATGCTGAGTATATCAGATTTGCAGTAATAAAAATAATTAATTTGTTCTTTCAGTTATACACAAAGCCAAAAACTCCTAGTCTGGCACCTCAAATCCCAGCCCTGGTAAAA